AGGCCGTTCTCGCGTCGCATGGGCGGCGACGCGCTGCCGTACTCGCAGGGTCTCGGGCTGCTCGCCCTCACGCTGGCCGTCTACTATGCCCCTCCCCTCGAGCGGACGCCCCTCCACCAGACCCGGGTCGAGGTCCTCTTCTGGCCGCTCGCCTACGCGTTTGGCGCCTACATCCACCTCTGCCTGCCGACTTCGCCGCTCATCGCGGTCGGCATCGCTCCGGAGCGCCCCTTTGCCGCGGCGATGGTGGGCTTCGCCGCGCTTTTTGGTGCTGCGACGCAGCAGCGCCGGCGCCGCGAGCGCCTCAAATCGATGGCCGCCCGCATCGACCTCGACCAGGGCCTCGCGCTGACGCCCTCGGTGCGGGCCAGGGTGGCCACCTTGCGGATTCGCGACCTGCTCCAGCAGCGCGCGGGGCTGCTACACGGCCTCCTCGAACCCTTCTTGACTGGCACAAGGAGCGACCTCTGCGACGCGCTCGCCGAGGTGGCCAAGGGCGGGCCGGCCGACCTCGTCTCGCTCATCCACTCGACCGAGGTGGACCTCGGCGTGCTCATCCAGCACGGGCAGGAAGGGGTCGCCAAGATTCTGCGGCAGAGCGTGCAGATCATGGGCGTGACGGAGAAGGCGACGCTCATCGACGCGTTGCAGAGGCAGGAGTCCGACTTTAGGGCCAACGAGGTGCGACGCACCGCGCGCGTCGCCGCTTGTACTCGTCCTCCCACCCGCCCGGCTCGCCCGCGCAGGAGCTGCAAGATTGCGCGCTCGACGCGCTGCGCAGCACGCACGGCGCGGAGCTGCTGCGGCTCAAGAATCTGCTCGACTCCGGGGGCGACGTGTTTAGCCTCCACCGGCTCGTGTACCTGGACATGTCGGAGGAGAAGCGGAGGGTTGCGCTCGCGCACTTCCAGCGCGAGGCCGCGGTCTGGGCCCAGGCGCGCTTCATCAAGGGCATGCCCGCCGAATCGCTCTACCCAGAGCGTTCCTCGACGGGCAGAGACGCCGGCGCGGTGGCCGGCCTGCGCACTGCGCGCAAGCCAATCAAGATCCTCTCCGACATCGACGACACGCTCTTCTCGTCGGGCGGCCACTTCCCGGCGGGGTGTGACCGTCGCATTCCGCGGCACGAGTACTACCCGGGGCTGCTGCAGCTCTTTCGTGAGGTCGAGGCGGGCGCCACGGCAGCGGGAGCAACGCCCGACGCCGATATCAAGGCGAGCCATCGGACGCCGGAGAAGAAGGCAAAAGAGGGTCGTGCATCGGAGCAAGAGGTGACTTTGTGGGTCCGCGAGCGGTGCGCGGGGCAGACCAGGCATGAGGCGAGCGGATGGGAGGAGCGCGTGCTTCCCGCCGACTCGCCGCTCTCCTCGCTCGCGGCGAGGCTGCTCACCACAGGCGGCACCGCTCACGTCGCCTTTGCTCGGCCGCCCAGTGTTGGCGAGGCCTCGCCGATCGCTTTTCTCTCCGCAAGGCCGCACGCGTACAAGGACTACACGGAGGCTGCCTCATACCGCACCTTCAGGCTGCTCCACAGCCGCGGGCAGATCTCGTGCGTGCCCACCTTGCTCGCGGGCGAACTCCGCTCCTCGATGGGATCGATGCTGCTCGCCATCGGGGAGATGCTCTCGAGAGCCGCCAAGAGCACCCCCTCGGCAGCTTGGGCCAGCGTTGGCCACGCCAAGGCCAAGACGTTTGCCGAGTACACGCGTCTGTACCCTGAGTGCGACTACGTGCTGTTTGGAGATAACGGCCAAGGCGACCTCCTGTGCGCCGAGCTGCTGCACAAGAGGGCGAGCGACCCGGCGCTGGCGGGGGACGCCGCGTCTCCCATCTCGGCTCCACGCACTAGCTTCATGCAGCTCGTCAAGCCCGTGGAGCAGCAGCTCAGCGACCTCCCCGCGGGGACCGAGACAGGGGAGCGGCAGAAGCGCTGGCGGGACGCCCGCATCTGCTTTAACCACACCTACGCCGGCGCGGCGTGCGATGCGCAGCAGCACGGCCTCATCAGCATGGAGGGGCTGTCCCGTGTGGCTTCCACCGCTCGCAAGGACCTCGACCGGATGCAGATCGAATATCGCGACTCGTCGCAAGATTGGAGCAGACGAGTTGAGGAGCTGAATGCCGACCTGCGCAAGTGCAACGCCGTGCTGCCCTTCGAGCTGGCGGTGCCTGAGCTCAAGCCACGTGGCACAGCAAGTCTCGCGTCGGGGTCATCGACCGTGCATCTGGCACTGCACAGGTGATCAAAAGTTCGCACGCCGGCTCCAGTCGGCTGTCTTGTGCCGCACGCTTGCCTCGCAAAAGTGTCGCGTTCGCCCGGCCGAGATCTGTGGGATCGTGTGCGTGCAACGTCGTGATATGAGTACTTGGAGTACTTCAAATGACACGTCTAAGGCGACAAGTTATCCAAACACCTGCGCAAAGACCACCCAGAGTGGCGGCGCCCCCCCCC